AAAATTCAATGTTCAAATACCTCTTTTAAAACCAAATTCACTAATCTACGTAGCGAACTAAAATTCAATGGACTATGTTATGATGAACTCGAAGTTGCGAAAAACTCCCTAAAAATGAAGAAAGCACCAGGAATCAAAATGATTGGTAGCAATGTAGTAATAAGTGTCTTTCCGGTGATAAACAAACCCATACTTAAAATTTTTAAATCTTCAATTATAGCAGGAAATGTTTCAGATAAACTGCAAATTGCAAAACTCTATAATATTAAAAACTTATACCAATATTAAAAACCAGAGAGCTATTTTACTAAACAGCTACACGTCCATTTTAATACTTCCTGTCTTTTCTAAATTTCTAGAACGAATAATTTACAATAAACTATGTAAATACCTAACTAATAACAGTATTTTAAATAAGAAATAATTTTCATTTCAAATTCAGCACTCAACCGAACATGCAATATTATATCTCGTTAATAAAATAAATAACGGCAGGGGGTAAAGAGATATCATCCCAAGAACGCACAACTCATGGTGATCCCCTTGCTATGCCATGGTACCCTTGTAACACCACGATTATTATAGAACACTTACTTGTAAATTACCCACAAGTTAAACAGGTGCGGTTAGCAGACAATTCCGCAACTAGTGGAAGCATTGCAAACTTATATAGCTGGTATCAATACCTTACTGATGAAGGATGTAAACATGGCTACCACGTAAACCATTTGAATGCTCGTTAATTATAAAATCCCCCTTATTAGCAGAGAATGAAGGCATACTATTCGGTAAATCACTCAACTAACTACAGAGGGTTAACGACATTTGGGTTCAGTAATTGGTTCGCAAAATTTTGAGAACAAATATTTCAATGAGAAAGTAGCAAAATGGTTAGGCGAGTTAAAACAACTTTGTAAAGTTGCAGAGACACAACCACAGGCCAATTTTATTGCGTTTACAAAAGGATTTTGTTCAAAATTTACTTATTTTCTAAGAACAATTCCAAAATTTAAACAATATCTAGCGCCCGTAGACGAAATACTTAGGCATTTGCAGTTGCAAACTCTTTTTGGAAAAGATACGCCCTTTTAGGATCACATTAGAAAACCTTTTACATTAACTACTCGAGATAGAGGATTGAGTATACCTATACTAATTGAAGAAACGTCTTACCAGTTTTTATCACCTGTGAAATGAACTAAAAATTTTGTACAGCAAATTATAGATCAAGACACAATTTTAAAAAAACTAAAAATTCTACCGGGAATGTTCTAGAAGATCTTGAAAAAGACCATCTAGTGACAGACTTAGGCATCACACCGAGAAAATAGTCGCAGTTAATTCAATGCAACCAGAGTCTATGTTAAGAAACATACAGCAAACAAGAAGCGAATGTGCAAGCACTTGGTTAAACGCCATATCGCTAAAAAACTAAGGTTTTATTTTAAGAAAAGAAGAATTTCTAGATGCACTTTGCTCACGATATAATTTCAACTTAAAAAGTATCCCTCGTAATTGTGAATGCAGAGAACTTTCCAATGTAACTCATGCTTTGTCGTGTAAGGAAGATGGCTTTATTTCAAGTCGCCATTAGAATATAAGAAATTTGTTTACTTAATTGCTTAAAAGAGTGTGCATAAATGTTCAATCCGAAGCACACCTCATACCCCTTGAAAATGAGAATTTTCATTTCCATACAGCAAATAAAAGAAACCAAACTCGTTTGAATATTAAAGCAAATGATTTTTGGCAAAATGGACAGACAACATTTTTTGACATAAGAGTTACGTATGTCAATTCCGTGAGCAACAAAATCTGGATATAGCTGCTATAGGAAAAAAAAAAAGAATACGGTGAAAGAGTTCGTCATGTCAAACATGGCAGTTCGACACCACTAATGTTTGGTACAAAAGGAGGTATGGGTAAAGAATGTCATAAGTATTTTAGAAGTTTAGCCGAGGAACTATTAAAAAAACAAAACGAAAAGTACTCCATTGTTATGACGTGGTTATGAACGAAGTTATCTTTTGAGATACTTCGAGTCTTCGCTCAACCTTCCTTTGATTAAGAGGTGTAAGAACACCTTGGACTTGAAAAAATTTTCTTGAAATCAGTTTTGATTTCAAGATAATTTTGATTACGTGCACTATATCAGCCTTTATCTGCTGAAAAAGCTAATGATGCTAATGATTAACGTATATTCATACATGCTTGCTGTTAATATTGTGTTTTACCATGGAAGTATAAAACGACGGAAGTTCATCGAGCCGCAAACATCAAAGCAATTTCAAGTTGTCTCGGGAGTATGCTTGTAACTGGCAATAAGTTTCACTAGATAAAAAACAACAAAATTCACTGAAATGATCTTTATTAAAACATTAAAAAATGAATTATTCTAGGGATATGTTGCAAATTTTTAACCATTAGTAATTGCAATTATTCAACAAAAGGTTTATTAAAACTCTGTAATTATATAGAACCACTTGATTTTGAAAGCATATGTTAGTTTAAGCTTCTTTTCTTGCTTCAAGTCATAACACGACATTTGATAAAAAAGACAACTAAAACAATTTTTAAAAAATCAAAAAAATTGTTTTCTAAGTAACTAAAGTTTAAAGTTTTATTAGCTGTATATGATAACTTCATTCATTCTTGTAGTACTCAATTCATTTAATATAAAGTTTATAAAAAAGTTGTTGTTTGCCGTTACGTTGCGCCATTTTAAATGTTTTTTTTGAATATTATTGGCGAACCTTCAAAATACTATATTTTTAAACTATTATAAATGTATCTATTTGCGTCAACGTATAAAGATTAAGCGTTTAAGTACAGTCTTGATGTCGTTTTCTTATTGTTTACGAAACAAAAGGTTACAAGCATAGTCCCGAAGAATTTGAACTTCCATCTGTTTTATACTTCCATGGTTTTACAAAGCCTTAATAAAGTGATTTTTTTTTTATATATGACTTTTTCTGTTATTTATTTTGTATTGATGTATAAAACACATAATTATTATTATTTTGATAATATTTATTAAAAACTATTAATAAGCTAAAGAAGGAATTTTATCTTGATAAAATTCCTTCTTTAGCTTATTAATAGTTTTTAATAAATAGTTTAACTCTTGTAATGGAATCCTACGAGGTATAAGAAAAATATGATCAAGTTCATATTGCATGTTGTATGTAATTAGATCAGTTTAATTATTGTATTGATATCTTTAATACTTAAATAGTTAAAGGAAAACTTTAAAAAAGCTATTTCTTTAATAAATAATTTTTATACCTTTCCTGTACCCTATATATATATATATATATATATATATATATATATATATATATATATATATATATATATATATATATATATATATATATATATATATATATATATATATATATATATATATATATATATATATATATATATATATATATATATATATGTAAAATATATATATATTTTAAAAAATGAAAGAATGTACCTATTGTCTAAATTTAGTAATTATTTTTTTATAGCTCTTTTAAATACATCAATAGATTTTATTTTTTTCATATTTTTGTCAAGAACCGAGTTCCACAAGCGTGGTCCCCGACATGTAATTGAGAAGTCAGATTTTTTGTGTGATGTTAGTGGGATGAAATAATTATTTATTGAGTGTCTTGTTTTATATTTATAACTAATAAGTCGGCACTTTCGTATCTATCCATGCCTGAAACTAATCGACTTGCTTGCTTTTGTTTTGCATAAATAGTTTTTAGGAAAGATGAGTGATTGTTTGTATAGGCAGTATTAGAATAGTTAATATGACTATGTATAAACAAAAAATATAAATTTTTTAAACATATTTTATTTAAAAGAGGTTTAGTCTTAAACATTATCCCTAAAATCTTTGAGACTTAGTTCTCGATAGCTTTATTTGGCTTTTTAAATGTTCGTCGAAAATTATTCCAAGAATTTTCATTGAAAAAACTCTTTTTATTTTAATATTGTTGATAGTTAGTTCTGGTTAATGTAAATTTATTATATATTTTTGTATGAGTTATGTAAAGCTGTTTATGCGTAAAAGTAATTCGCGTTTTTACATCAAAATAAGTAAAAGTGACATCCCTAGTTAGTAACTGCGCGTTTAGCTGCTTTGGATAAGGCTTTCTCTTCAAACTCGGAAAGCCCGTGGATCGAATATCCAATTTTACTTCTTTTTCTTTAATATCTCGTCGCTCGTATTTACTTTTACACCATTTCCCTATTCTTTTTTTTATAGAATACACATCTCTCAACATCAAGGCTCTCAGTGTATTTTCCAAGTAAGGTGTACCCACATGGTTTTGCATCCATTTAAATCAAATACGTCATTCGTTTAATATTAAAATAAGTTCCATTAAATTAAAATAAATTAATATAATATTAATAAAAAATAAATTTAAATATACAAATAAAACCTTTTTTTAAAGATAATATAGATTGTTGAGATTGCGCATGCGTTAAATGTTTTAATTGAAAAGAACGATTGTTTTAATTGAAAATCAAATTGTTTTAATTGATTCTCACGATGTTTTAAATGAATGTCAAGGTTGTTTTCAATGGATGTCCACTGCTCATTTTTAGAGGTATTAAGTTGAAGTTATTTTTACTTTAGATTTTTTTTAACCACTCTTTCGAGTAGGTTGACATGAAATAGAAACCGTTGAAAACGAATTAAAAACCGCTTTTTTTTTCATTTTTTGATCATATTTCTAAATACTTAAAACCTTCAAAAAAATGAGGGAGTCCTAAACTTTATGTGGCTGCATCTTTTGAGCGTCAAAATATATTTTTATAAAATTTGAAACCTAATTACAATTTATGACAGGGTTCAAGAGAAAATTTTTTTTCTTTCAAAAATTACTTTCCCTCAACCAGGGGATGAAGGGAGCATTTTTCAAGGGTATTTTTGCCCCTGTGATCTGAATGCCGCGATTTTTAGCAAAAAAATATCATTTCAACAAATACTAGCAAAATAATAGTTGCAATTATCTTCTTGTCAAAAATCTATTAGAAATGTAACAAGTTTTCCATCTTAACTGACACACACAAAACAGATGTTTGTTCTGATGTTATACCGAGCGAGATCTTCTGCCTATTGAGATACTACTTGAGAGGGAACCTGATTATGTGAAACTTCCATCCAAGTAAAATCTTCATTAAGAATACATCATAGACATATACTTTTAAGTGAAGCATGGACTTCACAAACTTGTCTATTTTTTCTTTGTAAGATATATCGAGTTTCATCCCAAAACAGCATTCAGCTGCAAAATCAAACAAAAGTTAACCAAGTATTAACTTGCTGAAACCCCTACCTGTGCTAATTGAATTAAAAACATTCTAAGAAATGTTAAAAAAAATTAAAAAGCAATCAAGTACCTTCTTTAAACATCCTCAGGGTTTAAATACATTCCAGATATTCAATTGGAGAATGAAGTGTCATTTCGTCTAATAAATTTAAAACTTTGGCATAGTTAGGTCCATCAAAACCACCACCATTACAGCCATGCCTGATAACCATTTTCTTTTCAAGTAATTCTTTCAGATTTTTTATTAGTGAAAAAGAGATCAATAATTTATATACATATATATATATATATATATATATATATATATATATATATATATATATATATATATATATATATATATATATATATGTATATAAATTATTTTGTTGCTTTTGTGATGAGCCATCGGCTCATCACAAAAGCAACACGAGTATTTTCCACCGTGACCCTTTATTATAGAAAATAACTTATAGGTTTTGCTTATTTAAAATATAAAATAATGAAAAAAGGTACTTACTGATAATCCCATGATGATGTTGATCAATTTAAGGTTAGAAGGTAAACTTCAATTGGTTGAGTTGATGAAGTTGGAAAAATGTTTTCAGATTGTGATGATTCTCTTCTACGTTTCGAACTATACCTAACATAATCACTTTATTAACTCCGGTGTATTTCTGGTTTCTTGATTGAAAATCTAATACTGATGGGTCAAACACGTTTACAACAACCTTTTAAGATCCCTGCCCTCTATCAATACCAACACGTACAATAGAATTAAAAATATCCAATTACAAGCTAAGAGCTATGGTTGTTGAATACAGTTCAACAAAATTGTAAAAAGATTTTTTAAGAATATATTTAGATTAAAAAAATGCCAAATCTTTTTTGTAACATACAATATGTAAAATACTGTTTGTGGCATTTCATTTGTCTGAGTTTGTTATCGGAGATATTCATGTTATGTGTGTGTCAGTTGAGATGGAAAACTATATATATATGTATATATATATATATATATATATATATATATATATATATATATATATATATATATATTATATATATATATATATATATATATATATATACATATATATATATATATATATATATATATATATATATATATATATATATATATATATATATATATATATATATATATATATATATATATATATATATATATATATATATATATATATATATATATATATATATATGTATATATATATATATATATATATATATATATATGTATATATATTAGGGTAGGCTAAACGCCCCTAATTTTTGAAAATCAAAAGGCACTGTTTTTCATGTGGTGTGGGTGTACTCTGTGATCAGTAGAAACAAAAGTTTAACTAATTTGCACAAATTTTGGACCCCGCTCATGGGCTCAAATATCAAATTTTGACCTCAAAAATTCATATAATGACCGGTAAGATAACCTTCAAAATAAAAATCTCTAAGGCACTGTTTTTTAATTGATTTTTAATGTTTATATGATCATTTTAAAAATTAACCGGGTTTTATAACATTTCTTATTAACCCATTTGTTTATTTTACTAAGATCGCAATTATTTTAGACGTCTAAAGCAGTATTTAATTTTTTTGCATGGAAAAATCGTTAAATAATTTTACTTATGATAATTATGGGAAAAGATACAAGATCAAAATGTAAAGTTTTTTTGATAAATGATATTGTTGAAATACTACCATCATCTTAATTGCCTACTGGAGAGCAAGTTGAGCAATATTTACATGGCAAGCTATTCAATGCAAGAAAAGAATATAGACTCTGTGATATGGTTTCTTGCAAATTTCCACATGGGAGTTTTGAAATTGGCTGCAATAACCCTCGAGGGTGTTCTTTTCTTAAATGCACATGTGTTGTTTTTTCATTTAAGAAAATCTGGAAAAGAGTTTATCATATATTTGTAATTATATATAATATAGTTACAAATATATAACAAGAATATTATTACCTAAGAATCTTACTGTAAGAATAAAATGTTGTTTTCTTTATATAGAAGTAAGATATTGTGTTGGAAGATCAAAGAAAGAAGCTTTTTAAGAACAAATAACGTGACACACCACAAATATTAAGAAAATGAGATATCTACAAATGTGAAATAAAGTGCTTATTTGATATTGGTGTGAATACACCAACATAAAAGCAAAATATTTTATCAAACAAGCAAATGATTAAAAAAGAAAGAAATATTGATATAAATTTGTTGATTGATCAACAAGTACGTAAAAATGGGATAGGTAGAATAGACTAGAAGTACTTACTTGTAGCTCGTAGAAAGCAAAAGGAGATCGAATCTACCAATAAGAGAATGACTACTATAAAAAGTAAATAATTGGCTTCTAAATTTATTACTAATTTAAATTTAAATCAGGTTAGCAATTGCAGTGTAGAATCAAGTTACAAAGAGGATAGTCAAGATTTTTAATATCAAAAGTAAAGCAAACCATGATCTTATAAAAGAAAACCATATTTTATTGAAGTTATCCTACCTAGGAAAGTCTTAAAGGCCACTGCTGTTACAGAAAAGAGATACGGTATTCAGAGTTCAGCACATGTCGCTACATTGACTAATGTCATTAACTCAGCAGGTGGAAATCTAAAAGACTTTGGTATTTCTGTTACATCTGCAAATGTTCATTCAAGTGATGTGATTAGTTATAATAGTTTAAATTAAAGAATATTATATTGAAATAGCCAAGGGAAAACTGCTTTGTTTTCATTTTTATACAAAAATAATAAAGCAGTATTTTTATGGCGCAAATATAAATGTTGAGCGCTTCGCACTATTGATTTTAAGTCCTAATATCAATAAAAAACAGTTTATTGGAAACTTTTTTTTTTAGATTTTTATTACCGAAGAACAATGCAGTTAAAAAATAACACCCTCCAAATTATACATTTAAAACTGCTATAGAGGAAATTTGCATGTACAGTGAAATCCAGTTAAGTTGAACTCTAAAATGGAATAGATAAATTGTATGACTTAGAGAATGTCCTACTTAAGCGAAGCTCTTGGTTTGTATAGAAAGTCCAAGGGAGAATTTGAAATCTGACTGACTTATTCAGTGTTAACGCTATTCTTCTGTAACTATATCACTGAGTCTATATTGCAAATTTTATTTTTTAGTTTTGATTTGTATACAAATTAAATATTGCAGAACTCGATATCTATAAGGCAGTTGAGAGGGTGTTCTCTATATTTCTAGAAAGTTTAAAAAAGTCATTTATCAAAAAAACTGATATTTTGATTTGATATCTTTTCCCGCTTTTTTTAAAATAATATAATGTGATAAGTTATTAATAATAACAATATTTTTTATATACTGTTATATAGGTATGTCATACTTTAACTTAAATATAACACAAACAAACACTTAATTCAGTTCTTTTTTGTTCAAAAATTTAAAAAAATTGTATAAAAAATGAGGGTGGGGTGGCGTATTCTCCACCCCTGCCTAACCCTCCCAGCAACTGCAATCTTATTTAATATAATGCTAATGTTTCTTAATAATTTTTTTATGCCGAAAAAGTAATTACAAATAAAAAGCCCCCTTAAAGATTTGCAATCCCAATAAAATAAAAAAACCGGCAGTTTTAAAATGTTATAGAAACCGGGTTTTTTTTAAGAAACCAGGTCAAAAGTTTAGTCCTTTTAATGCTTGTAGGCAGCCTAAATCTTATTGAATTACGATGGGATTAGGCTTAAAATGATCGTAAACTTCTAAAAAATCAGATGAAAAGCTTATTTTTTTATTTCAATTTCGAAAGGTTGTTTAAACTGTCGCAATACGAAAATTTGTATATATATATATATATATATATATATATATATATATATATATATATATATATATATATATATATATATATATATATATATATATATATATATATATATATATATATATATATATATATATATATATATATATAATCATAATAATTATAATAACAATAATAATAATTATTATAATAATAATCATATATATATATTTATAATTATTATGATTATTATTATTATCATCATTATTACTAGGGCTGTGGAATCGGAGTCGGAGTTGCATTTTTAACGGAGACATTTTTAACGGAGTCGGAGTCGGAGTCGCTAAGCAAAATCGCGACTCCGACTCCAATAGTAAAACTTCTCAGTATTGCACGTGTATGTACAAAACATTCAATTAACGTTATGTTCATACATAAAAGAACGTTTCATAAATTTTTCAAAAAATTTTTTTTACTTATCGGATAATATTTTTCAAAGAATTCAAAGAATTTTTTAAATATTTTGCTTTTGGAGTTAAAGTTGGAGTCGGAGTTGTGCTCAAAAAATCTCAACAACTGGAGCCGGAGTCAGAGTTGTACTCAAAAAATTTCAACCACTGGAGTCGGAGTCGTTACTTTTTTTACGACTCCACACCCCTGATTATTACTAATTTTATATTTATCATGTTTTTTAATATTTGTTATATTTTTATTTAATATAATTTTTTATTTAATATTAAAATTTTAATTTAAATATAAAAATATTAACACTTAAATTATATAAACAATATAACTTATTATATAATTATATAAAAAAACTTAAATTATATAAACAACATAACTATAATAATATAATATAAAAATAATATAAAAAATATAAACACTTAAATTATTTATATAAAAAATGTTAAAAACAAAGTTTTGACCAACCGGGAAAAATATTCGCTTAATTTTACCGCCTCCAAACCTAATGCTTTTAAAAAAAGGATGTACATAAAAAAGATCTGAAAAGATAGTTATTAAATAAATATTAGCTAAAATCATTTCAGATCTTTTTAATGTCATTTTTTTAAAAGCAAAAGGTTTAAAATCTGGCGAATATTTTACCGCGTTGATCAAAATTTCGTTTTAAATTTTTTTTTCAATGTGGAACATGTGACATCACCGCATTGCCGTTATTTGTGTCTTTAGTGCAGTTATCCTGCATGTAACACATACGACATACGACATCGTATATACGACATACGACATACGACATCGTAATAACGTAATAATTATAAAGATTTTTTTGAGAATATTATAAGTCGAGAATGGTTCTTAAAATATTAATATCCATAGAAAAATTTTGATTTGAGGAATATAAAATTAGCTCAATATAAATGAATACTTGAATTGTTTTTGTTTCAAAGTATGAATTAAATTTTTTAAAAATAATATAAATATATGTTTAGTTTCGAGAATAACCATTATGTAAAAAAGAAT